AGTGGTCGTTAATAATCAAATTTCTTGTAGTGATAGTTGATGAAGCTTGATAAATATTTTTATAATATTAGTTCAGTTTTAATACATCCTTGGCTTAAAATTTTCTTTTTGTAAATCATACTGTGCTGAAATAATGGTTTCTAATTAATCATTATTATTACTTCTATATACTTTCTTTAAGTTATTCTTATATTAATTTTGTAATTCTCATGGAGCAAAATTAATATATAATAGCCAATGAATAAAATAGTAGAGTTAGAATAATTTTTATAAAAGTCTTATTTTAAATCTCTAATCTAGTTTGTCTCAGTTTTAATTCTCATGGAGGAATTGTTGTAGGTAAGATTATTGATTTTTGGTAAAAAATATTCTCACGCAGTTCGTATTGTCTTTTAGCACAATTCAAGCAAGAAAATATTTCAGTTTGACCGTCACTAGTTTTAACTCAACTAATTACATAACTTCACGGAGTATTATTAATTGACTTTTTCTTAGTGAGTAAATATAATTGCATTAGTAATAAGCAATTATTATTTAGAGAAATACATTAAGAAATTGAGATTTTATTTTTTAATATTATCAAGTGAATTCAACGATTCCCAACTCTTTTTTAATTGTAAATCTTTCGGAAGTTGTTTGTTTTGCTTTAAGTAATTTACAAGTTTTAAGACCTCACTCTTCTTTTATCAATTTGGTTCTCTCAAATAGTAGTAAAAATATTAAAGTTTGTAGCCTAGATTAACCAATCTCCGTGGGATGATATCATAAACTATACTAGAATTTGACTGAGTATGAGCAGAAAAATCCTATGCACATTGGTCTCGCGAATTAGTTCTGCTGAAATTAGTTATGCTGACCTATTTCTTATCCATTGTTTGGTTTGATGTATTAAAGCATTGCACAATTTATAAAAGAATAGCCCGTTTACAAAAAAAAATACCCTCATAATCAGTTCATCACTTTATCTTTTTAAATGAAATATATGTTGAGGAATATTTTAATATGAAAAAGTTTTTTAAAAAATTTATTTGATTTGTCTGCCTATATTGTAGTATAGAACTGAATATTTATTTATATAAAAAAAGTATGCTAAATATTTATTTATTTACTAGGGGTATAACTTTATTTCCCACTTTCTTGGGTTATTTCAAACTTGCATTAATATAATAGTATATTTTAATCAAGCATAAATTTTGAAGGATAATTTTGTATTTAACTAAGCTAATGTATGCATTAAAACCCATTGCATTGTTAATATCATGGTTTCTTATGCATTAGTTATGCATAGGATAATACCAAATAAGGTGTATAACTAATACTTACATAACTAATGCATAGGTTTAAAAAATGTACCAAATAAGATATTATTAATATACGAAGCTAACGCATACATAATTTTATCTAATGACTCCTGCCAAACGATATTTGATATAGTTTGGTATTATCTAATGCAGCCTATAGATATTTGATATTTGATATTTTATCTAGTGCAGGCCAATAGATATTTGATAATAGTCACCGCCACTTGACATGCAGTCACTACGCAATCCCCAAATGCAAAATGCAAAACGCAATCACTACTTTGACCGTCATGACGGATCCAATAAATATATCCATTTAATCTCTCCCTTTTTATGAAAGGGACAGGGGAAATCTCTTTGTCAACACATATTTCTTTTTTCTTTCCTTTTGGTAGGAGAAAGAATATGGAAACAATTTTTTATAAATAGATAATTTCTGTCTTTGAAAGGCAGTTATATATGTATAAAAGCAGTGGCGGACCTAGGATTTTGCATAAGCGGGTTCAGTCAAAGACGAGCGCAAGTAATAGTATAAATAGTGTTGGGTATGACGATCAAGATTTGATCATTTTATTTATTTATTTATTAATTATTCTTAACACAATCTCAAAATGAAGTTATTTTAAAATTGGCACTCTATAGTTTTAACATAATTAAAAATATTTTTAAAAAGGTACAAAAAAATTATCTATCTATTTGTAGAAATTTATTTAATAATTTACAAATTTTACTTCAAAAATTTATTAACTCTAAAATATTTAAATAAATCTAGAGTTTTCTTTGTTACTGATAAGATGTTGTTATCTAAAAGAGCGAAGAGAATAAATCTATAAATACTAAACTAATTCAAGTAACAATTTTTTGGAGCTATATACCAAACTAGAAAATTAAGTATAAAACAAATAAACGTTACTAAACTAAATAAAACTAACTAATTATAAATAATTTCAACAAATGTACTTGCATTTTATCAAATTTTAAGAAATAACGAGCAAATTTCACTTTGTAGGTAGGTTTGATTTTTTTTTTTAGCAGATTAAACTATAGAATAAATTGTATTCTGGCAAAAAAGAAGATAAAGTAACATAGTAAAATAACAAACGAGTGGACATGAGAGTAATATTAGAGGGACTCTTGGTTAATTTGAAACACACTTATCTTGGCCATCGGTTGCGTACACTTCGTCCTACAATACAGATTAAAAGAACAATTAGAAAATGGACAAAATGGGACTCGAACTTGGCACCGCCTAGACAGCTTGAACCCTCTTGACCACCTCGACCAAGAGCATGTTTGTTCAAAGTGGGTTCAATTTTATAATTTTTACACAACTGTCATCTGTTTAAGTATAATTTATCAATATATATAATATAATTTTTCAACGAAGCGGGTTCAACTGAACCCCCTTGACACCATGTGGGTCCGCCCCTGTATGAAAGTATGTATATCTCTGTAGAGGAGGGTGTGGGAATGGGGTGGGGGTTTGGTTAAAGCTGCATAATCACAGTTCCTAGAGAGCGGGGACGTGCCACAACCAGTGTCGGCTGAAGTGTGAGGCAGCCAAAACAATGGCTCTAGGCCGCTAAAATTTTTGAGGCCCCATTTTTTTTAGTAGTATACTTTTATAAGTTACCTCTATTTTTTTAAAAAAAAAAATTCTGAATAGCTTAAAGTAAAACGTACTATTTATAATTTAAAAAAACTTTGATTAGTTATTAAAGTTAACCATTAAGATTTGAATAATTCGAAACGTGTGAAATATCTTTGATTTTCTATTTTGTGAGAAAAATTTAAGATTACTAGAAAATAAGAATCTAAAAAATGCCTCAATATCGATAAAAATATAATAGTCACTCTGATTTTGATAGTTTAAACCTAATTTCAAATCGAAAGTGTTAAAGAAAATACTACAAGTAGAAGACGATGCTCTAATCAATATACTTGATCAAAAAATAAGACTTGATTTTTTTTCAAATACCTATATTACTCATGAAATAATATTCCTATAATAGTTATATCTGCGGAAGATTTTTTTTCTAAATTAAAATTGATAAAATTTATCTAGGATTAACGTCTTAGTAGAGATTAAAAGGATTTGTGGTATGAACAGCTGAAAAGAACTAATAGAATAAGTTACTAATAAAATTATTAGTAACTTCGCATTTCAAAAAGTTAGGAAAATAGATTTCACATGAAAATATAAAGAAAATATTTTAGTACAAAAAAGAATTACGGCCTCTCATCGAGATTTGGCTTTAGACACTGAAATTTTAACAAAGCAAGATAAATCCTAAATTTAAAACAACTCTTAAAATATTAGGAGTCTATTAGGGTTACTTGGTGGCTATTCCACTTAAACCTTAATTCATGCCTATAAATAAGGCTACATGTGTCCTTCAAAGACGATCTCAGCAATTCCATAAACTCTCGGAATCACAAAAATATCAAATATAAGATCTCCGAAATTCCATGTAACTCTTGGAATATTCATTAAGAGATCAAAGACATGTCAAATATGTCTTGCTTAAAGTCCTACGTTCGAGAAATACGCCGCTAAGGCCCTCGAACGTAGAATAGAATTAAGGGATAAACAGAGTTGTAACCTACAACGTTTATCAATAAGATCCTTTTTTCTTTATAGTTATTTGTAATTGCAGTCCTTTTTTCTTTATAGTTATTTGTAATTGCAGTTTTATTTTTCTCTGCATAAATTTGTTGCAAACAGCCACCGACAATGTTGAGCCGCCCCTGGCCACAACAAACAATTGAACAACTTGTGGCACTTAGACTTCATGTGCAAACAAGTTCCATACTGTAATAAACTATCTGATTTTGACACATACTCAGCTGAATAAGTCAAGGAACTTTCATAAAGTTCACGAGAAGATGGTCAGTACACGGTCTATTAATGCATTCAAGCAACTATTTTTACCCAAATCATATCTATATGGCGTTGAACATTAGTTCATTCAAGGATTTTGTATCCACATGCTGTATGATATATATGAGTTGTGTAAGAAGATAGAACTTTGATTAAGCATAATAATAGTAGCATTTCTCGGTGCTGAAAGACCAAGCACCTTACATAATAAGGAATAATACAAAAGATACAATGACAAGATACGATAATATCAATAAATATGAGAATAGCAGCATTTCAAGTCGCTTAAATGATGCATTCCTTGAATTGTACGGTGTTAGCTCTGCGCCAAACTGCAGCAGAACTTCATCACCATTCTCTGCCACAAACAACGGTGAGATATAATCCTTATGATCAACGGGCAATGACATGGTAACCAATTTAGTCCAAGATTTCTCGACACCATACTCCTTCATCACCCATCTCTTAAACTCATTTGTCTTCACCGTCTAACGTATCATCACGTCACTAAATATGAGGTGAAGCAAGACTCTAAAAGTATGTGGCCATTTGAACTTGACGAAAATCACCTGACATGAAATCGTCGAGTCGTTTGAATGATGCATTCCTTGAATTTTACTGTGTTACCTCGGCGCCAAGCTGCAGCAAAACTTCATCGCCATTCTCTGTCACAAACAACGGTGAGACATAATCCCTACGATCAATGGGCAATGACATGGTAACCAATTTAGTCCAAGATTTCTCGACACCATATATACTCCTTCATCACCCATCTCTTAAACTCATTTGTCTTCACCGTCTAACGTATCATCACGTCACTAAATATGAGGTGAAGCAAGACTCTCAAAGTATGTGGCCATTTGAACTTGACGAAAATCACCTGACATGAAATCGTCGAGTCGTTTGAATGATGCATTCCTTGAATTATATTGTGTTACCTCGGCGCCAAGCTGCAGCAAAACTTCATCGCCGTTCTCTGTCACAAACAACGGTAAGACAGAATCCCTACGATCAACGGGCAATGACATGGTAACCAATTTAGTCCAAGATTTCTCGACACCATACTCCTTCATTATCCACATATCTGCCTTTTTTGGTTTATAGTTACAACAAGCAACTAAATACCCTCTTGAAACACCTAATGTCCAATAAATACCTTCATCTTCATAGCTCGGCAAAGCTATTTTCCCATATTTCCCTGCAGCCAAATCCAAAGTAACAATTTCCCAAGAATAATTTATTTTACTATAACATGTGTCCCAATGAAGAGCCCCATTAACAAAAACACCCAACTTTCCATTTATATAACCACTATTAAAACCCTCAATAGTCGACCAAGATTTAGCCTTTAGGCTATAAATCTTAACCACGTTCTCATATCTTCCCTCAGTTTTAGGAAAACTAAAAATCTTAACATCCTTATAATCTTCAATAAATGCATCATAACCAAATCCTTATCTACCATAACAACCACCACTATAATCTTTCAGCACTGTATCAGGAATAACATTAAAATTTCCAGTACATGGGTTGAATAACATTAGTGTCAACTTTTCACTGGTTAAACAAATTAACCCATTGCAAGAACCCAAAATCTTAGCAGAGAGAGTTAAAGATTTAGCAGGATTACTATGTTTAACCATAGTAAAAAATGAATCTTTTTCAAACCCCATGTTGTAAATATTGCAGAATCTGCCCAATTTAGAAACTGAGGCTACTACCGCAAGTCTATAATCAGTCATTTTGGGGTTGACTAAGGAAAAACTGACATGGGTTTTGTTAAATAGAGGAGATAAGAGTAAAGAAAGCCATGGTTTTGAAACAGACCTGAATTTCAAGAGAATTTTACAGGTAATCTCAAGAGAATTTCAAAGATGATTTCTTGTGGAAGGTTTGGTAATTCTTGCACCAAAACTATTGATGTTTCCTCCATTTTTGATTCACTTGCTTACTATTTTCTTGATGGTACTATGGAGTGTGGAGTTGAGTTATATAGAGTGTGTTTGGCTAAACTTCTTGTCAAATTTCGGTATAAGTACCTTTTGGTTTATCTATGTGTTTGGTAAACACCCAAAGTGTTTATATGCCTAAGTGTTTATAAATTAAAATCAGTCATAAGTCATAAATTGGTGACCCGCAACTTATGACTTTTCAACTTATAAGCACTTTTAGTTTGACCAATATTTTTACTAGCTTATCCTAATAATATTTTCTAATTCACAAAATAGTTTTTTCAAAATAAAATTTGTAACTTTCTATTCATTCCATATTCGTTGTTAATTCTTTTCTTCACAAAGAAATTTTTTAATTTATAATCTTTTGAAAAACATTCAAGGGTATTTTAATCATTTTAACAAAAGAATAGCTTATCACCACTTTTTTTTATCAAACACATACTGTTTATTATCAGTTTCAACACTTCTATTCAAATACGTAAATACTTATTTAAAAATCAATTTCAATATTTTTCATCACTTCAAGCTTATCAACTATTTACCGTTAGTAATCCAAACAGGCTAATAGTGGACTTGTCACTCGAGCTTTCAGATTTGGCGTGCCGTCAAAACATTATTTCAATTATAAGCACCTCCATTTTCAACTTGTTAGGAGGAAAAAAGATGTCCATCCCTTTCAATTTATACCAACATATTTGACTGTTTATTTAAAAATAAGATTTTTGAATCTATGGTATAAAATAAAAATCATATATTTTATGTTTTTTATAAATTATTATATAAAAATAAATTATATTCAAATATTGAAAAGAATCATTCTTTTTCACACGAACTAAAAAAAATACGTTCACATAAATTAAAACGAAAGGATTATAAGCTGAAGTGTTTGTTAGATTTGATTTGATATTTATTTAAAAAGAAATCAAACTAATTAGTATATATGATTTTCTCGGTTCAAATACTTTTTGGATATTTTTATTTTTATTTTTTCAGTTCCTTTTTTTGTTACATGAAATAGAAATTCAATCATTTTGAATTAACTAGTTATAAAGAAAAACTAGACTGATTGATAAAATTATCCATAAATTAGTACTATATGTTTAGCTAAAATTATACGATGGATGGAATCTATGATCTTAATTATGTACTCCATCTATATCAGTTTATGTGTTGTAGTTCATATTTCGTGTCACGACCCTAAAACCAATCCGGTCGTGATGGTGCCTATCGGAAACTAGGTCAGCCGACACAACTCCTGAATTAACCATTTAATCAATAACAATCATTTTTAAACCTTTAATTGATCAGATATCTCATAATGTAAGTCTAAATGAACAGTGCGGAATAAATACACAAGCCCGACATCGGGGTGTCACAAGTCACGAGCATCTACTAAGGTTTGAATACAGCAAAGAGTCTAAAAATATACTAAATACATTCTAAGGAAGACAAGAGGGAGAAAAAGGCAGTGCTGCGAACGTCGAACAGCTACCTCGCTAACTCCGATGACTCTGCCACTGAGCAATCAACACCCGCAACCAGGTTCAGAAACACCTAAATATGCACACAAGGTGCAGGGAGTAATATGAGTACGCCAACTCAGTAAGTAATAAAAGTAAATGAAAGCTGAGCAGTAAAAAAACACGTAAACCACGTCAAATCGCTACAACAAATGCAGGACTTTTTTAACACAGTGCAGAAATCGTTTACTTCAAAAATCATGCTCAGTTTCGGTAAAACCTTTTAAAACAACTTTCAATAGTTTCAAACGAATGATAAAACAGTGAGTAAAAAAATGATAGCAAACGTAAACAGCCCCTCGGGCAAAACGTGTATCCTAAACCGCCTCTCCGGCATAATATCAACAGAACCAGCCACTCGGGTTACCTCACAATCACTTGTAATCAACCCCTCGGGCATAACATGAATCAAGAATCGCGCCTCGAGCAACAATTGAATCAACAATAGCCCCTCAGGAAACATTATGAATCAACAATAGCTTCTCGGGCTACATCACATCACTCACACTGGGTACCCACACTCACTGGAGTGTACAGACTCCAGAAAAGGCCCCTTACGGCCCAAGTGCAATAACAAGCCATCTCGTGGCATAATCAAACAGGCTCTCGGCCTCATATCAAGCCACCTCATGGCGTAACAAATCAGGCCATCGTCCTCATAATCATGAATCAGTACAACACCACTCCGGCGTGCAGCCCGATCCCATAGTATCCTCACAACACAGGCCCTCGGCCTCACTTAGTCAGAAATCTCTCATGTCACTCGGGCAACAGTAAAATATGATGATCAGCCCAAAATATCATTTAAAATCGGAGTAAATATGGTTGAGTTATGAAAATAGTAGAATACAACATGACTGAATACAATTATGAAGTCAAAATAGTGAGTAATGGTAGTAAAAATCCCCTAAGGGTCCAAAACAGTTGGCACGAGGCCCAAACATGGCATTCAACCCAAAATAGGATAATACTTTCCAAAATAAAATGATAGCAAACAGTTTTCAATCAAATACATAGTTTAACGGTCATACGGGACGGACTAAGTCACAATCCCCAACGGTGCACGATCTCACGCTTGTCATCTAGTGTGTGTGTCACCTCAAAGTAGCACAACAATGTGAGATCTGGGGTTTCATACCTCAGGACAAACATTTACAATCATTACTTACCTTAATCCGGTCCAAACTCTAGCCCGCGATGCCCTTGCCTCTCGACTCGGTCTCCAAATGCTCCAAATCTAATCAAATACGGATTTATACCATCAAAATATGCTAAGGGAAAAAGCCTACTCGAAAATAACCAATTTACATCAAAAATCCTGAAATTGGCCAAACCCGACCCCCGGTCCCATGTCTCGGATTCCGATAAAAATCACAAAACTAGAATCTTTACACTCTCACGAGTTCATACATATCAAATACATCAAAAATCCGACCTCAAATGACCCATCAAATCCCTAGATTTAAGTCTCCAATTTTCAAGCCCTAACTTCCAATTTTCTACTGATTTCCCATATAATTCAAGATTACAACCTTTAAAATCATCATAAACACGAGTTTAGGGGACCAGGGACCTGACCTCTAAGAAACCTTCTTGAATTCCCCCTTCAATAAGCTCTCCAAAGCTTTCTCCCGAATGAAATATGGTGAAAACCCACTCAAAAACGCGAAGGGTGAAATTTATATGTTCTGACCCAGCAAAGCTGCATTTGCAGTCCAATTATCGCACCTGCGGACCCGCACCTGCGGTCCCAGGTGCGCATCTGCGGATTCCACTTATCCGCCTAGCCACCGCACCTACGATCATATATTCGTACCTGCGCCATTGTAGGTGCGCCCAAAGTTCCGCTTCTACGGTTCCAGCCTTTCCCTCTCTTGGCCGCATATGCAACTTCACTTTTGCTTCTGTGGGCTCGCACCTGTGGTCCCCAAGCCCCAAGTGCGGTTATGATAGAAAACTCAGCAGCTTTGGCCGCAAATTCACAACTCCAAACTTCCCTTCAACCATCCGAAATCACCCCGAGGCTCCTGGGACCTCAACTAAAAGCACGAACAAGTCATATACCACTATACACACTTATACCAATCTCCGAAACACCTAAAACAACATCGAATCAACCAAAAGACATCGGATTCAAGCCTAAGGTTCCAAAAACTTCCAAATTCCGCTTTCGATCAAAAGGTCTATCAAACCTCGTCCAAATGACCTGAAATTTTGCACACACATCAAAAATGACACAACGGACCTAATCCAACTTCTGGAATTTCATTCCAACCCCTATATCAAAATCTCACCTATCATTCGGAAAATGTCAAAATTCCAATTTCGCCAATTCAAGCCTAAATCTACTCCGGACCTCCACAACACATTTCGATCATACCCTAAGTCCCAAATCACCTAACAGAGCTAACCAAATCATAAAAATTCTAATCTGAGATTATATACTAACAAGTCAAAACTTGGCCAAACTTTTCGAATTTTAAGCTTCGAACTAAGAACTGTTCATCCAGATTCATTCTGATTACCATGAAAACCAAAACTGATAATTTACATAAGTCATAATATATCACACGGGGCTAGTCAGGCCCGAGAACTGGCGAGCAAAGTGCAAAAGTTCAGAACGACCGGTCGAGTCGTTACATTTCGAGAGTAAACTAAGCTTTTCTTTGACTGCAATTTGTTAATTATTATGATTAAGTATTTCCTTATGTAATTTTAAATGTATAAATTTTATATAAAAATCTAAAGATTATGAGTGTGTTTGGTATGAAGGAAAATATTTTCAAATTTTCTCATGTTTGGTTGGCTTAACAGCTTGTTTGGATGGTTGCTATATATCATTTCATAATATATTGTATCATATTGTATTGTAACGTTTAATGAATACATTGTTTGGATAGATTATGTCGTTTGCCATTGTTTTATGATATCACGCACCAGCAATATAAAAAATATATGTAACGACCCAACCGGTCGTTTCATGAGTTATAGCTCTATTTTCCCTATTTCTACTTTTTTCTATGTTCTTCGGCTGTGTTGTATCTTATTATGTTGGTCGATTTGGGTCCGGGGTGGTTCCGGAGTGGAATGAGGCACTTAGCCTCCTATTTAGAAGCTTAAGTTGGAAAAAGTCAACCCGATGTTGACTTATGTGTAGACGGTCTCAGACTGGAATTCCGAGAGTTGGAGTAGCTTTGT